TAAGTTTATTGCTGTACCATGTGTACGGCATTTATTTTACACAGTATTAAATTTCATGTACATGAATCATGAAACATATATTGAGTAGCATATATATCGAAGATGTATACATAGTAAACAATGACAATACGTGAGTACACCTCAGAGTCGATTGTTTTGGACCAGGGATTAGTCACGTGAAATTCATATTCACTGATATAGTCAGGCGCGGATCCAGGAATTGAAGTTAGGGGGGCGCAGAAAGTAGGCAGGGGGTCTGGGGGCCGCCTTGAGGCCCCCAGTGGGTCCAAGGCGAAGCCCTGGTGGGGGCCCATGGGGCGAACCCCCCTGAAGCTCCTGGATTCTAGACATTCTGTAGGGTAAAAATGAGGTCTACCAAGTAGACATTTTTACATTTTCTTGACGAAACTATGATTTACGCTAACTTTGACAGTTTTAGGGGGGCGCGCGCCGGGTGCGCCCCCCCCTTAAATCCGCCACTGATAGTACAGCACGAGAAAAGCTGCCAGACAATTGTCAACTAACGGACTTGTACAATGGAGTGTAGGAAACCCATATTTTACCATTGTAAAATATTTGTATGTAAATGTGAGCATGGAATTAGTAGATAATGTTGTACATATTGTATTAAGAGTGTAAAATGCTTGGAAAAATGCATCATGTCTTTCCGAGAGCGATTTGAAAAATTGGCCTTTTCGAAAAGCACATGTAGTATTTTTTGTAGTAACCCATAATGCAACTCATTTAGCTGATTGGTCGGTTTGTCAGTCACGTTGGTGCCTCATTTAGCATGTAAATTTATTCTGACGTCACAGAAAATAGTTTCCTCGACCTGTTAAAACCACCGGAGAAAAGGCATGTCAGTCACACATATTCGGAACACCTCGTCATTTCTTTTATTAATATGAAAAGCTCCGATATGTTCCAAATAAAATCATGAATATGTATAACGCAGCTCATTTATAATTAAACAGGTCGTGGAAACTATTTTCTGTGACGTCAGAATAAATTTACATGTTTAATGAGGCACCAACGTGACTGACAAACCGACCAATCGGCTAAATGAGTTGCAATATGAGTTACTACAAAAATATGTACGTTTCGAAAAGGCCAATTTTTCAAATCGCTCTCGGAAAGACAAGATGCATTTATCCAAGCATTTTACACACTTAATACAATATGTACATCATTTTATTACATTTTCAACAGTGAAATACTGTGATTTATTTATTGAATAAAAGTGATATTCTCTCACAGTGTGAAAGGATACCAAAATGATATTCTCTCACAGTGTGAAAGGATGTCAAAGTAAGTAAAAAATAATTTCTGGTCTGTCATAAGATAGAGATAGTAACTAAGCAACTTGATAGAGCTAAAACTGCAAAGTTCTTCCCAAATATGTTGCTAAAGTCCATGCTATGTAATGTTTTCAATCACACAACTGCTAAGCTATGACGTCTCAACAGCTCAACTATGACGTCAACTGACAAGCCTCTGACACTGTGTTAAGAAAAGATAGAGGTAAAGGGAAAATCAAAGAAAATGTAATAAACAGAAAATTCAATGTTTTGTAGATGAGTATGGAATTTATTTCAATCGTGAGACAGGATTTTTTGATATTTTCACTCGTGCTTCGCACTCGTGAAAATATGAAAAAATCCTGTCCCATGAGTGAAATAAATTCCATATTCATCTACAATTCATTGAATATCCTCTATATCTACTAATTCCATGCTCACATTTACAAACAATTGTTTTACAACGGTACAATTGGGGTTTTCTATACTCCATTGTACAAGTCCGTTTGTTGACGATTGCCTGACAGCTTTTCCCGTGCTGTCCTATCGGTGAATATGAATTTCACGTGACTATTCCCTGGTCCAAAACAATCAACTCTGAGGTGTACTCACATATTGTCATTGTTTACTACGATATATATGCTACTCAATACACGTTCTATGATCAATGTACATGAGAATTAATGTGTAATACATGAGAATTACTGTGTAAAATAAATGGCGTGCAATAAACTTACGTTATTTTTTTTTTTTATAAATGCATTAACTTTTATTAATTTCTAGTAAACAAATAATAAAGCAACAACGAATAACACCAGTAGCATGGCAAATTTACAAATATCAAGTTATAAAAACTGGATTCTTATTTACTTGTGAAGACTCTATGAGAGGCATTTCAACGTACTATTTAACACGGAAAATTGACTTTGTTTTTTAATGTGAGCATGGGAAATCTTAATTAGTACCTATTCTTCGCATTTTTAACAAAGACATTTAAAATAATTATTAGTTGACTTTCCCGCAGTCATTTGAAATCGCGTCCTAAATTTGCCTGACCCACGTGTTTGTAGTAAAATATAAACATGTAGTAGACCATCATGCTTTTCGGCTCATTCATTGGATTGAACGATTGTTTGCTGTACATAGGCGTCGGAAGCAATTTGAAAGTGGGGTGGCTAATTGAAAGTGGGGTGGGGGGGGGGGGCTAACCCAACGAAAAAAAGTAAGCCCCAATTTTCAATGCCTATATTATGTCTATCTTTGCAAAAAAGTGGGGGGCTAAGACCCCCCTAGCCCCCCCCCCCCCCCCCCGGTTCCGACGCCTATGCTGTAAGCACCGCTGTGCGCAATGACAGCAATATCCATATAAGGTAGATTCCTCGACCTGTTAAATATAAGGAGATGGGGCCTAATTAACAGATTGTTGCTTGCAGATTCGTATATTCTATAGACCATTAATTCAAATGCAATGTCTTAATTCCTATTGAATTTATTCATTTATTTTTTCTACATTCTGGGTAACCGATATTCCCATGGCGCACTTTGTCATTGCATAAAATAGTATATAGAGTGGTCTTTTTAGTATTGGTATAATAAAACAGTTAATTAAGTATATCATTGAGGGAGTCAGCAAGATTCCAGTTCCCCTCGAGCAAGCCTATTTCCCTTAGCTTCACCACGGGAAATAGACTTGCTCTTAATTAGGGAACTGGAATGTAAATTGCTGACTTCCTAAATGATATACTTTAACTGTATAATATAAACCAACAAAAATATCGATTTTACGACAACTTTCTGGAATAGAGTAGAGTGATTTGTTAAATAGCGTATGTGTCATCCGTGACACCCACATTTGTTTTAGTTAAGGGTACGGGATAATGAACTGGGGGGGGGGGGGGTATATATATGTTTCTGAAATAATTGTACATATTTATGAGATATATTATCATTAAACTGTATTATACCTACGTGACAATACCTTATTTACAGTGTTACTGTATATAGTTTACATTTTTACGTTTAGATCGATCTTTCCCCATGTTTTTGATCTTCAAGACATGATACTTGAGAAAGGACAACTTCAAAAGGTATATTTCACTTTCTCGATGAGATTGAACTAAAAACCCTATATACACTGCGCACTAATGAGTTCTGATTTTGTGGTATTTTTATGCAGATAAAGTAATATGGCCCTTGATTTAGAGTTAAATAAATGAACAGTTTATTACTTAATTTGTGATCAAATTAAGCATTCCTTAGACTTTGATAGGGCAAGATAAATAGATTGACCATTTCATTTATATGTAATTTGCCCACTTAAAGTAAACGACAGTGATTTCTGTTCATCAGTATACTTCATCGTCTTTGCACATTTTTCTTGGAGGTAAATGCAAAGTATCCTATCTTGAAAACATGATAGATAAGCCCAGTATATACATCTTTACACACTATAATTTTCTCAATGTCCAAAAAAAAAAATCCTTTTAGTGTATAGAGGGTCCTTATTAGATTATCTATCACCTAACTATTCAACTTAGAGATTTATTGATCTATTAATTACATGTATATATTGAAAATGCTCCTGGGTTTTTAGTAAACTTCTGGGTTTTTAGTAGATAAACAAAGTTCTGATGAGCAAGTGTGCTTCTTCCACAATTGTGAATTTCATGGACCCTGTATCAGGAATTCTGTTGTTAGTGCGGGGCTTTGGTGAATGTATAACGAAAATGCATTATTTCTTAAAAATCTTTTGTTCTACATTTGAGCATCTAGTAGGCAAACACAGTACGAAATTGTAATCAGGTGTTTACATGATAATAGTGAAAAGGCCAATATTGGCAATTAAATAGAGCTTTAAGATTTTTTCAAGGTAAGAGTAATTATTTATATTTTTGATTCCTGATCACCCTACTGTATATCTCTTGCTTTTGGGCAACATCAGTTTATTTTGTATTATTTCATACTTCTATGGATCTTTTACAGTGTTGTATTATACGCAGGTGACCGTTAAGGCCCTTCAACACTTGAAAGATAGTTTTTATCCATATTTAATAGTTATTTAACTTGTATACGTAGCCATGCATGTGAATAAATTATATAATAGAGATTCAGGTTGACACAGTATGCAGTTGATTATTTACATTTCAGTGCACATTCATTTTATTTTCTTTTTTCAGGATCCTGCATTATTTCTCAGCATTATAGTCATTACGCTAATGGTCATTGGAACCATTTTGTCCCTGATTTATTTTATTATGTATGGCATGGATATGTTTAAGAGCCTACAAAAGGACAATTAAATTAGCAAGGTCGGCTTCATTTCAAATTTAAAGAATATATACAATTTTTTATTTGAATTATGATCATGATCAAGGCTCCTTGTTATTATGTTCAGGAAAAACTTAAGCTTTAAATTCTTGTTATTTCACACTCTCGAAAGTAGGACTTATTAAAATGTTTAAATTATTTTTTATTAGCTTCGTTTTCTACATCATTATAAGGGAGAATCGGAAAATTGTACAAATAAATATGTATAAATTTGTCAATATATAAAAGATAGAATTTTATTCTATATATACTAGTCATTTTCAGGTAGTCTAAATCAGCAATAAATGAATAATTGTCAATTAAAATAAACCTTAGATCCGCCTGCCTTATCGATTCAGGCTGTGACGAAACGCGCCATAAAGGTCACTTTTTCCCACGTGAGAAGTTTGTTTACAGTTCATAGATTTATCTACCCCATCTTACTAAAAAAGTAGACCGGTGGAAGATAACCTAGGCTGAAGTGGAGAAGAACAGAATGGCAGAGGAAGAAGGAAAAACAGGAAAAACTGTCCTCATAGCGATTGACGGAAGTGAACACGCCAAAAAAGCATTCGAGTGTAAGTTATTTTAATTTCTGAATATCTCATTTACACGTGAAATGCTTGAATGTAAAATATGCGCAATTTGCCTATATATTTAATGAATCGGAAGGATTTCGATGCGGAAGTGTACGTTACAATTCATTATATTAAAGGTGCATTAAACGTCGATCGATCATTCTCATTAATTCATGATATGTGTATATGTGTCACTGTGCATCTGGTACAATGTATCTAGTGTATGTCTGTGCAGCGTTTGTAAGTCTTGTCACCGGAAATTGACACTGTGAAAATGGCATATATCTAAAATTTACAATACTCATTTATTCAGTTTAAACAAATAACCCTTTTCTTTGATGATACATATATAAATTAGATCCGCCTACATTTTGACACGTATGTAAACTGATAGCCGAGGTATAGGTCACAGATCTAAAACATCCACCTGACATTTCAAAGCACACGTTTAAATTATTTACTGTTTTCGTGTACATTTTTTAGCAGACGACGGAACCGATTCGATGCTAACGACGCAGTTTATGTACCTAATGTTTTGCAGGCTAGGGCCTCTGATAACGTTTGAATGTTAAGTTATGCCGTAATCGAGGAACAATACGTGTTTTTCTCACATTATGAATGCTGCAGATCAATACCACAATATTATTTTTTTAATAATGTGTTTGTTCTGAAAATTAGAAAAGAGGAAAAATCGACCAAAACTTTTTAAACTATTTTAAGAGATATAAGGGTAAAATCAATATTACTTTTCTGGAAAGTTCTACAGAGTCGGTCAATATTCGAAATTAGATGATCTCCAACATTGGCAGTCTATGGGGAATTAGCCAGCGTAATAGTATCTTTTTTTAAGGATTTTGGTATTCCTGGCTATTGATCCACATTAAAGGAAACTGTAGGCTCTACGATTTTGTACGCAATTAAAATATTTCATCTAAATATAATACCGGCATGTCAATATAGCGATAGCGATATTTTCATGAAATAAAGAGTAAAAATATTTTAGGGATGTACATATAGATATTAATATTACAGCAAAGATAATCATTCCATATTCATATCCTTATGTATAGGTTATGTTTCATTTGTTTCTCATGCGCCAACCTTGAATCAGAAATATATATAAGTATACACTATACATACGTATGCGTCTTTTGAAAATTACTTAATTTGTTTTGCTTAGTTCATATAATAAATTGAATTATTCTACCCTTAAAGTGAATTGATCACGTGAATTCAATAGAATCACCGATTGCATCATCGATCAAGAAAAGTAACTTTAATAATTAATTAGCAGTTTCAAATTTATGATTGAATTTGAATAATATATTAAGTTTGTCCATGTCTTTTGAAAAAAAAAAAAAACAGGGTACAAGGAAAATGTGTTCACTCCCACGGACAAAGTGGTTCTAGTTCACGCTGTGGAGATGCATGAAATCCTGAACTCTCAACAGTGGTATGCCAGTAAGTATTAAAATTTCTTATCAGTAAACACTGTTTGTATAATGTCTTATATATAAAAAAAAATCCGGATTCTCAACATTAATACCTACTTGTATTTGTAACATGATGCTAGAAAGTCTATAAGCAGACACGTAGGACACCCCCCCCCCCCCCTCCACTACTCCCAAAATAATTTTGCCAACATACACTATACATATTAAATTTTTGCTTGTTATGGAGTCTCTGTTCGGTTGTGCCTCCCAACTGAAATTGCTTCGTACTTGTCTGACCGATATTTTCGTTGCATATTATCAGTATTTGCATGTAATATGAGAATTTACTCAAACGTAAAAAATGAAAAATTTATTGACAACTGTAAAGCACCTGTTAAGTATTATGTAGAATGTAAATCTTTATAAGTAGTTTTTTAATAGCTGTGATCCACGTCCCATTATGGATGGTTAACTACAGGGGCATCTCGACACCAATCTGTGTCACTGTAAAACATTACGTTTGACTTGATTTGGTGAGGAAAGAGAGGCAGACGAACAGAAAGAGAGAGAGACCGAGAGCATAATAAATAAAATAATAATTTGGTTTAAAATGATATAAAGTACTTAATACACATGTCTAGTTCTTAATAATCCATAGTTTCTCGAAAATGTTACCGCAATTGTAACCTTCCTGTCTCTCTTTTTCTAGGTTTGAGGGCATGAACTGCAACAGAAGTCCTCTATTGTATTCTTTTACTCCATCATGTGTTACTTACATCCATTTTGCTTGTTCAATCTATATCACACTACACTTTATACCTTTAAAATTTTGATTTCCCTACTTCAGAGTAAAAGTGTTTCTTCCACCATCTTCATGTGACTTAAAGCTTTTTAATACTTTTTGACCCTCAGACTTAAAAACAGATTTACAACATATAGATAAATGTTGAGTATACAAGGAGACATCTACGGATTTTTAGGTCATTTGTTGGGAGGAAAAAAAGATTTTTGATATGTGCGTGTATGTTTTCATTTTTTTGTGACACGAGAAACACATTTTTAAATAATCATGAAATGGTTGCAGAATTGTGATATAATGTTTTAAAATTTTGGTCATACTGTCAAAGCCAGTGATCGAATTGTCAAGATAATTTATAATAGAATGTTTCGCGTGTCCAGATGTTCTTATCAATTTCCTAGTTAACACTTAGTCTAAAAAACGTTCAGAAAATACAAACGATTTTAGGCAAATCTGACGAAAACTAAGACACAATCTGTTTCATGTAAATCGAGTCCTAACTTAAATGTCTATGGCATGAAGGATATATTAAACTTTTTGATGTTTTTTTCTTTTAGCTCCCTATAGTTTTGACAGGGACACCCTGTTTTCAATACTAGAAAAAGAAAAAGAGAAGGTGACGGCAAAGTTGGAAGAATTTGCCCAGCTTCTCCGAGACGCAAAGGTAGGCAGCCGTCCATAGAGAAAACAACAAAAGGTGATGGAGGGAAGGTTGTTACAATGAAAACTGTGCCAAATAATTTAACTTTGTATTCTGTAAACAAGATATCTCTCTAGTTTGAAGAAATACATGTATCTTTTTTGTTCAAATGTGTAGGAGATATCTCTCTACAACGAGATATCCCATAGCTTAAAAGATACATTTCGTTGCGTTTTGATACTTTCTGACGGAATTACGTCTCCTCCCACGCACCTTTTTCGCATTAGTCATTTAATGGAAAACTGAATTTTGAATACTGATTTTAAATCATATATATTTCAGAACACAAAGAAAAGCATGCTACAGGGGCTGACAAATAGATTTTTCAAGTACTTGCCCCACCTGAATTTCTACTTGCCCCACCATAAACTATGAAAAGTAGGAAGATAAAAAAAATGATTATTACAAGTGCCCATTTCCACTTAAAACTAAGACTTATTATATTTTTCTTCAGAAAGTCACTTGCCCTCGGGCAAGTGGTTAATAAAAATTCCCTTGCCCATCCCCAAAATTCACTAGTCCCGGGCGTTGGGCAATGGGATTTGTCAGCCCCTGCATGCTTTTCTCTAATTTTAGAAACGATTCAGCTTTTAAGGAAAGACACTGTAACAATATATGTTCAGTTACTTGTTATTTAACCATTTTAAAAACCAACTGAATTATTGACATCTTCTTCTATAAAGCAGGACACAATGATATTTATTGTCCTTATTTACAACATTTTATCACTCAATATACAAAGGTAGATAATGGTTCATGTTTATTTGGATTCAGTTAGGTAAAGAATACAAATACAACAAACATTTTGAGAGTACATGTATTTCAATAAGCATGCAATACTGAGTCCTCTAAGCGTCGAAAAAGGTCCATAAAGGTCGATTTGTCACATGAGATATATCTATTAAAAATATGTATCTTTCAGAATACAAGAGCTGTCTGTTTCTAATTTTCATTTAGAAATATCTGTTATTGTAAAAGAAATATCTCTTTGAAAGTATTTTTCAAGTTAAAAGAGTTATCTTTTGTCTCTTATGGCAAAAGAGGTAAGTCTATAGGAGAAAGGGATCTCTTATAGCTAATGAGACATCTTTGTTCGAGAGGTATCATTTAAGGAAAAAAGGATATCTCTTTTAACTAGACAGGATTCCTATTTTAATAAGACATTGTAAAAATCAAACAGAGACTGCATTCTAATCAATAATGATGTAAAACGTGATTTCCAAAACAAAGTAGCCAATAAATGCGATATGTATGCACGAATGTCTTTAGAAAGTGTAAATGAAAGAATAACAATTTTAAAATTACAGTGGAATGGTATTTTGGTCTGACTTCATCATGTTCATAGCATTTAATCACAGAACAAAGTAAAAAGTCCATTTCGTATGTAAGCAGTGAAACGTTCTCATCAACCCATGTTATTTATTTTTTCAATTATTTTTTATAAATTTTCACAATAGATAAAGCTGATGTCAATGAATCAAAGAAATAAATTCTCAAAACCGCTGCCTTTTTTTTTTTTTAGGTTTTCTAAGTTTATAGGGTTCAGAAACCTAACGTTCTGGCAATATGTGCAATGTCCAAAACTTTTGTAATGTGGGCAATATATCAAGAACCACTTAACCATTTTTTTTTTTTAAATTCAGAGGATATTTTGGCCAAGAGCTTCCCTTTAGACTAAAAATAGAGTTTAACCTTAAAAAAAAGGGGGGGGGGGTTACTAAGGGAAATGTTAAAAAGTAGTAGTTGCTTAAGAAATCTCAAGAACCACAGGGAAGATTTCTACACAACTGATACATAAAAATGAGGATACAGGTGTATATTGTAGATTAAAAATTATTCAAGACATCACCCATAGGCAAATGACGTGGTCTCCAGGTCACTTCAAAATTGACCCCAAATAAAGTTTTGTTGAACCTTTGATTATTTGCCTACTTTGAAGACAGGATCATCAAATTTTGTCAATCGGTACCTCACAGGACTTCGGAATATTTCTGCCTAAAAGTAGATTACGGTGACCTACTTTACGAGTATCTCATTTTCCTATTGATTAGATATATATCTTATATACTGTAAAGCTTAGGATCTTCAAACATCATCATTTGATGCAACTTAAGACCCAGGACCTCTTACTCTGTTTCTTAACTTTTTTTAAAAATAAAAATAATTTCTTGTAAAATCCTACATCAGATAATCCACAAAGGTATCCAATGATTTCTAAAGTATGGAAGAGTAATCCTTTTCACGATTCTGTAACTATTGTCCTTGTGGACAGGTCTCGCTTCAACACTGGCAATGAAATATTTATTAACTATATACCTTATACATGTATTCTTAGATTAACTTAGACAAAAATTAATATTTTATATAAATTTACTCTGGAAAGACGACTTGATTGTGGTATGAACTATTTGAATGGTATCTTGTTCTATACCCTTTATATGTAGAGGGATTACTCACGATTGAAGGTATAATACAGTTATTGCCATTTTTACAGATAAACGGCACTGTTAAGAGTGTTCATGCAGCAAGCCCCGGGGAGGGAATCTGCAAAATGGCGAAGGAAGTGGAGGCTGATTTGATCATCACCGGAACTCGTGGTATGGGGACTATTCGGCGTACGTTATTGGGGAGTGTCAGTGACTATATTCTACACCACGCCCACGTGCCCGTCATTGTGTGCCGTGATTAAATCCGAACATTTTAGAATTATATTAGATAAATAACGGAAATAAGAATATTTAATATTCAAATGTACAAGTTGATAACCAGATAGATGCGAATGTGCCATATACATGTACTTTAATTAGATATCTGTGAGAATGTATACTGGTGGTGTTAATTTTTTTCTGTGTGTTACATTTGTATAAGTTTTAGAATTGTAAACCGTTATGTTGAGGTCAGATTCTGTATGTTCTAAATTCATTTAATGAAAATACAATAAATATAAATAGCTCACTCTGATTGATTCTTATCAAATTTACATTAAGGATCATTGATACTCTGGTGAAAGAGACAACTCTTAATGACATAATTATTTACATTTCAAAATATTTCTCCTTTTCAATCGCCAACTTCCCTTATTTATGCAGCAATATACGCTTATCACCTGCATACGGGGTTTATATCTCTCAGTTGATTCGATACGCCAGAGCATGCTCTACTATGAACAATTTCTAAAACGAGGTAAGTTATTGACAAACAAGTTGATGAAACAAGAATATCAGCAGTCTCCTTGAAAGTCATCATTTCGTAAGTTCTATGGTCGATACAATCACCTTGTCAGCAAATACAATCTATCATTAAGTCAAATGCTGACTGACTTTTTTCATACTACATGTATTTGTTAGGCCATTATTTACAAACTGCATTGTCGACGGATTTTTTCCGTTATTTCCCGATCATGACAAGGAGCACACGGCGGATGTGACCGGTCGGCAGGGGATGCTCACTCCTCCACGGCACACCTCTGATGTCTTAGAGGTCCGTGTTTGCTCTGCTCTTATTTTGTAATGTTTAATGGACGTGAGAGCTCGAATACTGTTCGTTATCTCCACATACTTCATCCTTATAAGATTCTTTGCAAATTAGAAAAAGTTCATGTTCTCATGAACTACCGTGGGATGAGTAAGAATATTTATGCCCCGCCATGAATATGGCCGGGGCATATAGTGTTTGTCATGTCCGTCTTCCGTCCTTCTGTCTGTCTTTCCGTCACGCTTTGCGTTAAGCTCTGTTCAAAGCTCAGTTTCAAAGAAACTATCCAAGATATTTTTATCAAACTTCATATGCTGATAGATATTGATGAGAGCTATACAACTGCATCATCATTTTTTGACCTTGTCCTTTCCTTTGACCTTGACCTCACTTTTTTAAATTAGTGTTTAGCTCAGTTTTAATGAAATCATTCAAGATATTTTTATCAAACTTCATATGCTGATACATACTGAATGAGAGCTATTCAACTGCATCAATATTTTTTTTACCTTGACCTTTCCTTTGACATTGACTTCACTTTTCTTAAATTAGTGTTTAGCTCAGTTTTAAAGATACCATTCAATACATTGTTATCAAACTTCAGATGTTGATACATACTGATGAGAGCTATTCAACTGCATCAAAATTTTTTTACCTTGGCCATCCTTCGACCTTTGACCTCACTTTTCTTAAATTAGTGTCAGACTTCATATGCTGATACATACTGATGTAAGCTATTCAAATGCATCAATATTTTTTACCTTGACCTTTCCTTTGACCTTGACTTCACTTTTCTCAATTTGTGTTTAACTCAGTTTTAAAGAAAACATTCATAATATTTTTATCAAACTTCATTTGCTAATACATGCTGATGTAACCTTTTCAACTGCATCAATATTTTTTGACCTTGGCCTTTCCTTTGACCTTAACTTCATTTATTTTAAATTAATGTTTAGCTCAGTTTTAAATAAACCATTCAAAATATTTTTATTAAACTTAAATATGCTGATAAGTATTTGTGAGAAGTATTCAACTGCATCAAAAACATTTGACCTTGAAACTTCCTGTGACCTTGACCTCACTTTTCTTAGTTTGCATTTTGCTTAATTTTAAAGAAATCATTTAAGATATATTTATGTAAGTTTATGCACTTATACATAATTTGGTGAGAATTTATCATCTATATCCAACTTCTCAGATTTTAATTTCAATTTTAAAGAAACTATTCAAGATATTCTCATGAAATTTCGTACACTAATACAAATTTTCATGTTGCATTACTAATATACCCTCGGCGGGGCATTCATGTCCTATGGACATATTTCTAGTTCCATTATGATGTGATTGAAGTAAAAAAATAGTGCAAACTTTTTTTTCAAAAATGATCTTTGAATGACAAAAATATGTGGCAAGTCATCAGAAAACTAATGTAAATATAAGATATGAATATAATATTTGAGAATTCATAAAGTACATGAACTACAACCTTCACGCCTGCATATTTATCATGAAGCGCTAACGCGCTTCATGAAATACGCAGGCGTGAAGAGTCGCATGAGTTCTCAAAAATTAAAAAAATTAAATTCATCTCTTAAATATCTATCATTCTTTATAAATCCGTCAACTTTAAATGTCTTTTCTCCGCAGCAAGCTATGTTAAAATTGTTACTTACCAAATACATTTTTTTTTAATCATAAGCGTTAAAGGAACATTTTATATGAGAGATCAGGGGAATGTAAACCTACTACATCCAGCGGTTGGTAAAGATAAAGAAGGAAACTTATCAATTTTAATTTATTAAGGTGCCTGAAAAAGTTTCTATCTTTACTCCTTTATATCTAGCATGCAAGTTTTGTGAACAGTAAATCGATTTTTTCGGGAGCTTTCTGCTAAAACTCATCATTACTTGGCACGGCGCTTCACACTTCAAAGTCCAAGTATGTGTGCAATTGGATAAAGAGAAATTGATCGACCCTCTAAGTTAACCATGCATAATTTATGCAGCTTCGATATTTACACTCTACTTTTTACATAAGAGACCAACAGATCTGTCCATTTGTGACAAGATTTTTTTGTGTGTATTTTGCTGAGACGATAACTTATTACAGTGGTTAACTAATTGAAAAATATTTGGATTGTGACTGTTTTTGATAAAAAAAATTATGAAAGCAATGTTAATATAAATCTTAGTTCTGAAAAACAGATAAGCGAATGCTTGTGCCTTGAAAATAGGTTTTCACTTGGTTCAATGTTTCTAAGACCTTGGTTCAGTGTTACTAAGACCTTGGTTCAGTGTTACTAAGACATTGGTTCAGTGTTACTTAGACATTGGTTCAGTGTTACTAAGACATTGGTTCAGTGTTTCTAAGACCTTGGTTCGGTGTTACTAAGACATTGGTTCAGTCTTAAGACATTGGTTCAGTGTTTCTAAGACCTTGCATAATTGGTTCAGTGTTACTAAGACATTGGTTCAGTGTTACTAAGACATTGGTTCAGTGTTACTAAGACATTGGTTCAGTGTTTCTAAGACCTTGGTTCAGTGTTACTAAGACATTGGTTCAGTGTTTCTAAGACCTTGGTTCAGTGTTGCTAAGACATTAGTTCAGTGTTACTAAGACCTTGGTTCAGTGTTACTAAGACATTGGTTCAGTGTTACTAAGACATTGGTTCAGTGTTTCTAAGACCTTGGTTCAGTGTCTTGTTAAGACATTGGTTCAGTGTTACTAAGACCTTGTCCAATTGTATTTTTTTGCAGTCAATACAGCTAGTAAATAAATGATTCAACTAAAAGTGAAGGTTAGGCAATCTGAACATATTAAGTAGATATCATTAAAAAGGTTTATATGGGTTTTCCTGTCTGTACTTTTTCCATTTGTAAAAATCTATAAAATGATCACATTTCATTTGCCCTGAGTTAACCAAGATGAGTGTCCGAGATACGCGCTTCAAAATCTGTCTTTGAAATTTACCCCACCTCTGATGATTTTTCGATGAAATCCTGGCTTCCGATTGGTTGAAGTCTGACACGTGAAGGGGGTGTATAACTTATACCCAGTCGCTTGAAAATCAATACATGGTTGATGCGGAGTTATCGTTCTTTTGTAACACTTCGAACAACTCGAGTTCACGAGGTTTGATAAGTAAAAAGATGATAAGTAAAAAGTTAATCAACGCAAGTAACGAGATGGAACCCTTTTCTCACTTTAGTAAAGTCTTCCAAACTGTCAGTACGTTATGAAACACTCGCAAAACAACATTACGCAACACAACGTGACGTCATAATAGGCATTGTATGATTGATGAAACATATAGCGAAGAAAAACAATTTTACAAACCACTGATCTCAAACATTTCATCGGTGGGGTAAATTCGTTACATAGTTTTGTAGTGACAGGGTAGGGGATGATACCTGGTTAGTAAATTTCATACCTGGCGAGGCGAAGCCATTCGGTATTTAGATAATTGTACGACGTTTTATTAATTAACAATTTTTACTACCATTTATATGTCGACTCGATATATCCCAATATTTACATTTGCAAATGTTTTCCTTTATATAACACTATTAAAAGCAATGTGTATCTATATCCGTATAAACACGGGTTTTTCGCGTCATAAACGTTCGACGTAATTTCTCAGTGACGTCATAAAGGGTCGACGCGCAATCAATAGATCAAACTTGTGCCGTTGAGTTTGAAAAAATAAAACATTTCACGCGTTAAAGGTTATAATCAGGCTAATAAATAATATGAATAAGTCACAAATGTAAATATAAGTAATAAGGTATCATTTTAAAACATCTATCGGATATAAATACGGGTTGGTACGAGATCAAATTTACCATAAAGCCCTTCGGGCTTTATGGAATTTGATCTCGTGACCAACCTGTATTTATATCCCGATAGATGTTTAACGTAGGTCGCGGGTTTGCTGACGTCGTTAAAACTGGGTACGCAATTTATATGATTTGGACGACTTTCTTGTGCACATTTGATTATGAAGTCACAATGAAAAAGAAATCTGCGATGATTTTTGTTTTATTAAATTCTTCAGTATATCATTATTTAGCTATAACTTCTCTTAGAATTGGTAGTTTAGTGTTATATTATTTAAGCAACAAGTTATCACAAATAATGAAGGCTTTTTACGATTTGTATAGTCGATATAATACTTAGATAAAACTTTTGTTGGAATTGGTAATTTGGTGAAGAAGGCTTATTACGATTCAAATGATCGACTTGAAATATTAAAAAAAAAGTTTAATTATTTGTTATCAATCGCATCTTCTCGGGCCTTTCCTCCAAGCGTGGAAAAACAAGTGGTTGTTTTTCTCCTTGTCGGAAAGGCCCGAGAAATTGCGATGGATTTGTTTTCACTAGGTATCGCGAAACGATATGGACACAAGGTTCAACTGACCTTTTTTCCTTTGATCGTATATGAATTATAAATTTGTTTTATTAAGAAAGAAGCCATTATTTTA